TGAAGACCCTCGGTGAGATGGATCAATTCTGTGAGTGGAGTGGTGGGAATGAATGTGTTTGAGACAGCAAGGTTGGCACAGGATAGAACGGCGTTTAGGGCTCTTGTACACAGGGTCACTATGAGTCGCAAACAACTCGATGGCACGTAACAACAACAACACTACCTTCTTGGACCAATAAACAGTATCATGATAGATGGAGAAGAGATTGGAATTGTCAACAACTTCATCTTATTTGGATCCACAATTAACACTCTTGGTACCAGGGGTCAGGAAATCAGGAGACTCAGGAGATGTTATTTCACTTGAAAAGTCTGTAGTTAGGGACTTCTCCAACTTACTGAGGAGTAATGATATCAGTTTGAGGGTTAAGGTGTGTCTATTCCAGGTCATGGTCTTTCCCATCACTTGCTATGCATCTGAAAGGATGACAGAAGAATTACTGCCTTTGAGCTGTGACGTTGGAGAAAAGTGTTGAACATCCCATGAACTGCTAAAATAACAAACAAATATGTCTTGGAGAAGCTGCAGCCAGAGCGCTCCTTGCAGGCAAGGATGATAAGGCTTCACCTCACATACTTTAGGCATGTTGCGAGGAGGTGCTATTGCTTGAACAGAGACATAATACTTAGGACATGTACTTGGGGGGATTGGCATGGTGGCTGGTGCAATGAGCTCTAATGTATCAGGAAGTGTAAGGATGGCACAGAATTAGACAGGGTTCAGATCCGTTGTTTATAGGGTCACTGTGTACTTGACTCCACCAAGGCACCTTACAATTAACAATGGGTGGAGGTCAGTACTGAAATGGAAGAGAGATACAGATATGAATTAGTTTACAGGTTCAAAACAGGAAGCTCGAGCCTTCCTGCAAGTTGACTTTTTGTCCAATAAAGTGATCCTCGTAGGAGGGTTAGGGTTAGGATTAAGTATATTACCATACCAAATACTATTCCTTAGAGGTCAGGATGTTGAAACTTCTCATTCTTTGGGCATGTTATTATTAGGAAGGGCACGTCCTTGGAAAAGGGCATCATGCTTGGAAAAGTGGAGGGTCAGCAGGAGGGGAAGACCCTCAACAAGATGGACTGACATACTGACTCTAACAATGAGTTCAAGTATATCAGAGATAGTGAGGAGTGCACCCGATAAGACAGGGTTCAACCAGTTGTTCACAGGGTCACAGAGAGTCCTGGTCAAGTGTAGATGGCATGGAATGAAAGATTTTGATAGCATGAAAAGCATTGGGGGAAAATAAGAGTTTGAACTTAAATAGCTGGCCACAAGATTAGTGTAGAAGGAAACGTTGGTATGAAGGCTTTAAGTTTTCTACAGAGCAGGTGTATAACCATCGAAAGGTCTCAATGAATTATGTCTAGGGTAGGTACTCGGGAAATGAACAGTTGTGAAGTCACCTAAGACAAAGAAAGAGATCTCACATATATCGTTTGCTTCTCTCCTAGCAGGAACAACGAGGGTGTTAAATCCCATTCCGGTAGCTGAACGCATTACACTGGCCCTTACCCCGTAAACCCTAACACAAGCTCAGAGCCAAGGCCCCATTCTTCCTTCACTAACAGGTTCGCAGCGCGCGTTTTCGCTGGACTCCGGCCAGGGCGTACCAAGCTCCACCTTTCACCGGGTTAATAAGAACCAAGGGAGGCGGCCCCGCGACGACACAGTAGGCGAAGGGCCACCTAGAAAGGAGTTTACGCTTGTTGCCGGATCCCGCCCCACCCACAGCGCGCGCTCCGGTCCCGCCGCGGGAACTCGGTGTCGACCTGGACGCCTGCGCAGTACAGTCCGTCATGCAGCCGGCCACTTTCCCTTCCCCCAAATTGATTACATTCTTGCGCCTGCGCTGTGCGCGTTCTGGTGCTGTGGCAGCCATGCTGAACCCGTACCGAGAGGTGCGTGGGGGGGACAATGTGGATTACAGAGCAGTTTAGGACTCTGGAGATATGGAGAAACAGCGACCTTAGAGCGTTCTGGGTCTTCCAGGACAGGGTCTGGACCATGTGGCTCCCTTGGTCTCTAGCGGGACCCCCTGGAGCATTAAGAAAACTGACCCCTTTGCGCTGGGGGAAGGGGGGGTGGAAAGAATGCATCTGGCACGTGACCCCTGTCGGCCTATCTGAGTACTGCTGACGTGGCCGCGCGGCCCCGCGACTCACATCGCCCCCGCCCGCCGGGAAGGGAGGGGCTGGGGGGCTCTTCCCCCTCCCCCAACAATGCTCCAGTTTCCTGGGGGGGTGACACCCCGGATCACATCCTCCCCCCCGCACCATGCCGAGGGTAACTGTGAAGCCCCCTTGGAAGGTTCCAGGATCCAGGTGAGAAGTGGGGGCGGGAATGCTGTCAGTCATGTTAAATACTTAGCCAATGGTGGGGAGCCCAAGAAGGAGATTCTTGGGGTTCAGAGTAGGATGCTGGGGGTGGGAGGATTTGTCCTTCAAACACTTTACAGCCAATGGGAACGTGGAGGGGTGCGTGCGGGGTAAGGGCCCCAGGTGGGGGAGGGGAATGGCCAACCTCCTGCCTCCGTACCAATTGGAGGGCAAAGGGGTGTGGGGGCGGTGTGTGCCCCCCCAATTCCATTCGTCCCCTGGGGATACAGGAATCTGGAGCCAGGTGAGGTGGGACCCTCTTGGGAGTTGGGGACTGGGTAACTTGTGGATGGGAGTGATGAGCGCAATTCTCAGTCTTGGGTGTGAATACCTAAATTGGTTACCAGGTCGTGAACTGAGTTGTTTCCTGGAGCCCACACCCTTTCAGCCCCGAGACTCCGAAGGAACTTTTCTGTGCTCCCTTTGTGTCAGCAGTAGGAAGCTGGTAATCATCACATGGCATTTTGGAGGTTACGCTTCGAGCAGCTTATCGAATTTGTGTGCATTCACGTGGACACGGTCTGTGGGCCTTCTGCACAGACCTTCCTTGGCTTAGGGGTCTGTCACCTGAGTACTGATGTGCCCCTCTCTGGTGAGGGCAGGGGGGCTGCGAGCTCGGGGTCCGACCAGGTGCAGGGACTAGGCCTGTAGTAGGCGTTGGAGGGGAGTAGGAAGCGTGGCCAGAGACCCAAAGGCTGGGGCTCAGGATCTGGAGTGATTTCACAGCTTGCCAGGTTTCCAGTTTCTCCTGGGTGGCCTTGGGCTCGCCCCCTCCCCCGTTCCCCAACAGTTCTCTCCTTGTGTACTGCGGGGGAGGGAACGGAAAAGAGGGAAGAGTTACTTTTCCAAATGACAGTAGCAGTCGCCTCCCCTGTGACTCATGTGGGGGAAGGGAGGACTGGGGAGCAGTGATTTTCCGGAATGTAGGGAATTAGGCGCCCTTTCCCTTTCTCTGTGCCCAGTATTTCCACCACCACTCCCCGTGACTCTCCTGACCCGCTAGGCCTCTGGGGGAGAAAAGCCGGTTTGGGAGCCCGGGCCACTAGGGGAGGGGCGCGGGGGAGGGGAATGGGCTGCAGACTTGCTGTGTCATTGTCCTCCCTGCTGCAGCCGCCGGGCGTGGCTGCGGTGCTTTAGGGAACCAGGGGGGGGGGGCAGGGAGAGGAGCGAACTCTGCCTTCTCGGTGCGCACCACTCTCAGGGTGCCCGGTTTTAGGGGAGGTCCGGTAGACTGGAGATTGGCAGCCATTTTAGACGCAGTAACCGAGGTTAGGGTTCAAGAGCTGTACTGCGAAGAAGTGACCTAGGCCTTTACAGTCCCTTCCCGGGGGCGGGAGGGCAGAAGAGCCTTATTTCTTCCCTCAGATTAATTCCATTCCCTAGATGTGAGAAAAATTGAAAAGCATCATTTAGAACCCACATCAGTCTCCCCTTGTAGTTTGGGAACTGGAGAAGATGGGGTGGCTCGCGGCTAAGCCCAGGAAGTCTCTGGGGGGGGGGGGACACGCGTGACTTTCACTGTCCTGTAAGGTGCGTTAGAGACCCCGGCCAGCTCGCGCGCTGACTCTAAGTCTTTGGGCCTGTTGGGTTTACGTGAAGCTTGGGGGAGGGGGCGAAACTGGGCTCCCAAAATGGCTCCTGCCCCTCCTCTGAGGCGGACGGCCCGGGGGGAGGGGAGAGGAGGAGGGGGAGGGTTAGTCGGAGCCGCAGCCGCCGCCTCCTCCGCCCGCCCTCCTCCCTGGCGCTGACCGGTGGACGAGGCGCTCCGTGGGGAGGACTCCGGACCCGGTGGGGGGGGGGGGCTGGCCGCCCCCGCGACCAGGACCCTGGCGGGGGGTGTCTTCGGGGTTGGGGGGCGGGGAGCGTGCGGAAAGGTCTGCGATCGCCGGGAGGCAAAGGGTGTTCCTCGCAGAGCTTTTCTGCACCCCGAGCCTCACACGGGAATGAAGTTTTGGAGAGGTGAGTTTCGTTTTCTTGTGGATGTGCGTGTTTGGAATCGCAATTTTGTCAGGTCTTTTGAGGTTGTAACAAAGGTTACAACTCAGAGTGGGTTACAGTAGAAAGGTGCAAGTTTTTGGAAACTTGCAAAGGTTTTCTAGTTTTGATGATCTTGTGCAGACGCCCTTGCTAGTCCACAGGGAAGCTAATTGTGAACAGGCTTTCGGGTCGGCCTTGGGATTGTTTTGCCTGTAGGCGAAGTGCGGATTTTAAGACAGTCTGGAAAGCCTATATTTTACATTGTGTAGGAAGGGGACGCTAGTTTCCTCCGTCGTTTAATTTGGGGGCCTTTAGCTGTTTGTCTGAGGAGCAGGCCGCGGCTTCTAAGATGGCGTCTCCTTCTTGTTTTCAGATTCATCACTGCGGAGCTACCCCGCCGGAGCCATCACCCGCCTGGAACCCCGCGGCCACACCCCTGGTGGGCTCCGCCCGCCTCCGCCGCCCTGCTCTGCCAGCCAATGGAGGAGCTACGAATGGCACGACCTTCCGGAGTTTGGCATTCGCCAGCAGCACCGGGCTTGGACGTCGGGCAAGACAGCAGTGGAGAGGGTGCTGGAAGCTCGACCGGGATGAGATTCTGCACTTCTTCCCGTCTCCCCCTCTCCTTGGAGTTGCCGGACCACAGCACAGCCAACTGGCTGAGAGATAAGACGCGCGGCCCTTTCCTTTTGAGTCTCTGCGGCAGATTTCTGCCTGGTGACTGACGCTGTGGAAATGAAGTTTATGATGTCATCGCGTAGGCCAGCCAATAGAGAAAGCTCCCGCGGAGAGAAGGTCCACCTCCTTCAGTTTGGCTTCTTAACGCGCGCGAGCTAGCGTGAGCGCGCAGGGAGGGTGGGGGAAATCTCGAGCACGGTGGCGCGCATGAGCAGCGAAGCTCCTCCCACCCATCTATATATAAAGGGCTGGCGCGGGGCTCGGCGGCGCCATTTCGCGCTGGAGTGGAGCAAGCTCTAGAACGAACCGGAGGATTCAGCCTACTGATACAGAGCCTTCGTGTCGCCTGGGGCCGCCATTACAATCCACGTCCATCCGCTTGGAAATGGCCTTCGTCTCGGCCTATGACCCGTCCCGGCGGACAGTACAGACCCCATAGAAGCCCCCGAAGCTCCCCTTTTCCGGGCCCCGCCCAGTCCTCGGAGTCTATCCACCCCCTCTACTCCGCCCTCAAGAGGATTTCAAAGATGGAGGCGGCGGCTCCTTAAACCACTTTCTGTGTTCATCCGCCTCCATCCGAGGTCGAAACGGGACGTTGTCCTCATCGGACGGTCTCGACAAGAAGAGGGGACCCTTGCAGAACATCAGCGGGCTGTATTGACGACGGTGTTTGGGATCAGGGTCCGTCCTTGGGTGTGAAGAGCCCGTCGCCTCGCACTCACCCGCTTCAGCGGAGGCCGCCGCCATTTTATCACTGGCCGCCGCCTGTGGAGAGCGCTCGGAGGCCTTGCAGAGGAGTCTCCTCGGCTCGGCGGGGAGGTGGTCGCCTGGAGGGTCAAGGGCGACGGCCCTCCCCCACTTCCCGGGTTATGCTGGACCCGGCGGGGAGGGGACCCGAGGCCACACGAACTCAACGCGGCTGAGGGCATCTCCGGTTCCCCGCGGTCAAGATGCTGCAGAACGTGACTCCGCACAGCAAGTACGTCCCCGCGAGCGGCGTGCGGGAGGCGGCTGCGCGGAGCTGCGGGGGCCGCCTCGGGCGCGCTGCGGCTCGGCCGCCCAACTGTTGGCTCGCGGGAGGGGGTTGAGCGGCGGTTTGGGGACCGCGGCGGCGGCCGGGGGAGCGCGTATGGGGGCAGTGCAGGTTGTCCGCTTGTCCCTTTCCCTGTGGGCAGCGGGTCCGCCGCCCCGCTGCTGGGGGCCGCCTGCCTGCGGGCTCTCTCCCTCGTCTGGAGTAGTAGCCAGGCTGGAGGCTTTCTTGCAGAGACTGAGTCCGAGAATGTGTGTGTGGTGCTAGGTTGGTTGGTTGGTTTGTAAATATCACTTGATAGTTGGACTCAGCCAGAGGGTGGAGCCAAGTCTTCTCTTGCAGTTTTTCTTTTGTAAACAATGAGGTGTAGTACTTTGAGTCTTGGTTCTGGAAGGAGCACCTGAGGGAAAGTAGGCTGGAAACAGGACCACTGCTGTGGGAGTTTGACTTCTAAAGTTAGTGCACCGGTGCATAGTGCTGGTGGGAGGCCGCCTGTGGGGGATGGAAGTGGCTGTCTAGCTTAGACGTCTGACCTTGGCTGTCGGTGGTTTTACTTTTTGAATCCCTTGTAGGGAGGAGATCTGTTTTCAGTTCGGTGAAAATGGTCCCCGAGAGCAGGCAGCTGAGTACCAGGCTGTGTGTGTGTCTGTGTGTGTGTGTGTGTGTGTGTGTGTTTGGCAGTAGAGTTCTTGTTCATTCTTTGCTGTGAAGTTTAGTAGAAGATGCTAATTAATTTCTTCCACTATATGCATGGATTCATGTTATGACATTGCTGTCTATATTGCTTTTTCACTACCTTCCCGTGGGCCCAACCTCCATGGTAACTACCAAGCCCCTAGTGAGGAGGAAGGTTGAGGTTTTCAGCTTCACCTATTAAGCTTAAGCCCTGTCCCCATGGAACAGCAGTAGTTCCCAGATGGTAAAGTCAAAGATCACTTTCTTCTTTTTGTTAGTAAAAATACACGCAGGTGTTCCATTTTCGGAAGGTGAAAAATAGAATAAATCTGGTCCTAGTTGAGAACTACTCTTATCAACTAGATGACCTTTCAGTGAGTTGGAAAGCTAAACTTATTGGCTATTTAGTGCAAATTGTGCATTTTTCTGATCCTGTCCTAGGATTGATGTATCTAATTATGTTTCCTTATTTCACAGGCTCCCCGGAGAGGGGAATGCAGGGTTACTGGGGCTGGGCCCAGAGGCAGCAGCTCCAGGGAAAAGGATTCGGAAGCCTTCCTTGTTGTATGAGGGATTTGAGAGCCCCACAATGGCTTCTGTGCCTGCTTTGCAACTGACCCCTGCTAACCCACCGCCACCAGAAGTGTCCAATCCGAAAAAGCCAGGTCGGGTCACCAACCAGCTACAATTCCTGCACAAGGTGGTAATGAAGGCTCTCTGGAAACATCAGTTTGCTTGGCCTTTTCGGCAGCCTGTGGATGCAGTCAAACTTGGTCTGCCGGTGAGTAAAGACTTTGGAGTGGGGAAGTGTGGAGATGAGCAAGTGTGTGTGTGAGTGGTGGGGGTGGGCAGCCTAGATTAGGTGCTGCGGCCCCTAGGGGGTTTCCAGGCAGAAAGCTTATGGATTTCTGGATTCAGGATTAATCCTTTGTGATTAATCCAACCACTTGCTGTCTTGGCATCTCGCTATGCCCACCACTTGTCCTTCCTTAACTTTTGTGCCCTGGCTCCATTTTACAGATTCCCACCCCAGGTTGGGAGAGAACCACGGTGGCCAAAATTCTTAGCTTCTTCCTCTCCCTCATGCAGCCCATGGATAGCCAGCCCCAGAGGTAATGTCACAGGATGGGAACTCTGACTACCAGGGTGGGTGGAAAATGGGGATGATTAGGGAAAGGCATCCTGGGTTTTCATTAAAGAATCCTTACTCTGGTTTTGCCTGTCCTATAATTCATTTGGGGCCGCAGTTAGGAAAACCTTATACCCATTTGACATAGGGATGTGTGTGTGTGTGTGTATGTTGGGCTTGTTCATTTTCCTGAGAGGATAGGGGTTGGGTTTTGCAGTGGTTCTGATCTCTTCCCCCCCCCCTTTTTTTGTTTTTCAGGATTACCACAAGATTATAAAACAACCTATGGATATGGGTACCATAAAGAGGAGACTTGAAAACAACTATTACTGGGCAGCCTCAGAGTGTATGCAGGATTTTAATACCATGTTCACTAACTGTTATATCTACAATAAGGTAAGTTCATTCATTTAATTGATAAGAGGAAAGTATGTTCTGGGTGTCAAACTTCCTGCTATGTTTTACCTTTATAAAAGAGCCATTTTATTAGGAAGTACTATAAAAATTATGTTTGGGCCATCTAACCTCCAAGTGGTACCACTAGACAGGACCTTACATGGCTTTTAAAGCCCCAAAGTTAAAAATTGTGATATTTCATTATGCTAAATTTTTTTATCCTTTTTCCCTGTAGCCCACTGATGATATTGTCCTGATGGCACAGACTCTGGAAAAGATCTTCCTGCAGAAAGTTGGATCAATGCCACAAGAGGAGCAGGAGCTCGTGGTTACCATCCCCAAGAATAGCCACAAGAAGGGGGCTAAGTTGGCAGGTAGGGAAAATGTCGAGATTTGTCAGAGGACTTGAGATGATGAATCAAAACTAATTTTTTCTATTTTCCTAGCACTCCAGAGTAGTATCACCAGTGCTCATCAGGTGCCTGCTGTCTCTTCGGTGTCACACACTTCCCTGTATACTCCACCACCTGAGATACCCACCACTGTCCTGAATATTCCTCACCCATCAGTGATCTCTTCTCCCCTTCTCAAGTCTCTGCACTCCGCTGGGCCTCCACTTCTTGCTGTCTCTGCAGCTCCCCCAGCTCAACCCCTTGCCAAGGTATATTTAATGTAGATTTCTTGTTGGATGATAGAAAGTAGACATTGTTGAATGGGTTAAAACTGAGGTAAACTTCTTCGGGGTTGTTGGGTTTTTTCCCCTACAGAAGAAAGGGGTAAAGAGGAAAGCAGATACTACCACGCCTACACCTACAGCCATCCTGGCTCCTGGTTCTCCAGCCAGCCCCCCTGGGACTCTTGAAACTAAGGCAGCGCGGCTTCCCCCTATGAGAAGAGAGAGTGGTCGGCCCATCAAACCACCCCGAAAAGACTTGCCTGACTCTCAACAGCAACACCAGAGTTCTAAGAAAGGAAAGCTATCAGAACAGTTAAAACACTGCAATGGCATTTTGAAGGAGTTACTCTCTAAGAAGCATGCTGCTTATGCCTGGCCTTTCTATAAACCAGTGGATGCTTCTGCTCTTGGCTTGCATGACTACCATGACATCATTAAGCACCCCATGGACCTCAGCACTGTCAAGGTACCCACTGCATGGGGCAGATGGGGGATACTCAAGCAGTAATTGGTTGGAATAAAAAACTGCCAGTCACTTCATAGTAGACTTTATTAAATGATAACAGGACAAAAGGTCAAGTGCTTCATTAGTCACTATTTCCTGATATTTAAAGTCAGAGTGCGTTTTCTTGTCCTCAGTAATGCTACTTTTTTATGATTAAGTACTATATCTGTAGTGTGAGTATTGGGTTTAGGGGTCTTAAGGGATAAGAGGATAGGCAAAGGTATAGCTACTACCATCACCCCCATCACTTAGAAATGGTTTCTCTTTCTAGACATAAATATTTCTTCAACCCAACCCACCCAAATTTCTTTGACTTCAAACTTGAACCCCAGGGCACAGATCTTTAAGGTCATCCTACTGTGCCCTCAAGAAAGGGGCTCCTTGTGTGGTGTCTGGGGTTGGCAGGGAAAGGTGAGTCTCCCTGCCTGTGCAGCTTCTGATGCTGCCTCCTTCTGCAGCGGAAGATGGAGAATCGTGATTACCGAGATGCACAGGAGTTTGCTGCTGATGTGCGGCTTATGTTCTCCAACTGCTATAAGTACAACCCCCCGGATCATGATGTTGTAGCCATGGCACGCAAGCTACAGGTGAGTATGAAAGTTTACGCTTAAAGAGGAATAAATAGATAGGTCTAGGGAGGCATTGGACTTGTGTTGAAGCATAATCACTTTCCAGATAATTACTTGACAAATTGTGTAGTTATAAATTGGAGCTGTTCTTACTAGGTAGCTCTTTTCATTGGGGGGGGGAGAGAGGGTGCCTCTACCAATAAAGTTTTGAGTCTGTGTTTCTCTGTCTAGGATGTATTTGAGTTCCGTTATGCCAAGATGCCTGATGAACCATTGGAACCAGGGCCCTTACCAGTCTCTACTGCCTTGCCCCCTGGCCTAGCCAAATCATCTTCTGAGTCTTCTAGTGAAGAAAGTAGCAGTGAGAGCTCCTCTGAAGAAGAGGAGGAGGAAGATGAAGATGATGAGGAGGAAGAAGAGAGTGAAAGTTCTGATTCAGAGGAAGAACGAGCTCATCGCTTGGCAGAATTACAGGAACAGGTATGTTGCCACTTTTTTTGTTTAGTTTTACTCTTTGTTTTCATTGCCTACTTCATAACTGATTTGCTTTTGCTTTCTAGCTTCGAGCAGTACATGAACAGTTAGCTGCCTTGTCCCAAGGTCCAATATCTAAGCCCAAGAAGAAGAGAGAGAAAAAGGAAAAAAAGAAAAAACGGAAGTCAGAAAAGCATCGAGGCAGAACTGGAGTTGATGAAGATGACAAGGGGCCCCGGGCACCCCGCCCACCTCAGTCCAAGAAGTCCAAGAAAGGGAGTGGGAGTGCTGCTGCACTCGGGCCTTCTGGCTTTGGGTCTTCTGGTGGAAGTGCCACCAAGTAAGTTAAGTAGCAGAGAACTTGACAGTAAAAAGTTCGTTTGTCCTGGACAGATAACTGGACCACAGGGCCTTGCCACAGCTACTTTGCCAGTATAGCCTGAAAGCAGTCATAATGATTTTTTGTTTGTTTTTAAATTTTATCTAATTTATTTTAAATTCCGTTTTGTTAATGTATATTGTGGAGGTTCCCCCCTTGCCATTATCTTGCTAACTTCCATGGTGAATAATTAGTAACATACAAATGAATCTAGGCTAATTTACCTAAATTTCCAAGTTGATTATTTAATGTTCCGTAAAAAGATGTTCATGTCTCTATAGAATAAAAAGATAAGTAGGGTGTATGTTATGATTGGGAAGTGTTTAAGAAACTCTACTTAAGCCAGGAACTGAAAACCGTTGGTTACAATAGTGGAGAATGCTGATAATTTTCTTTCATCCTGTAGACTTGCCAAGAAAACCACAAAAACTGCTCCACCTGCCCTACCCATGGGTTATGATTCAGAGGAGGAGGAAGAAAGTAGACCTATGAGTTACGATGAGAAACGGCAATTGAGCTTGGACATCAACAAATTACCTGGGGAGAAGCTGGGCCGCGTAGTGCACATAATCCAAGCCAGGGAACCGTCTTTACGTGACTCAAACCCAGAAGAGATTGAAATTGACTTTGAAACGCTCAAGCCATCTACGCTTAGAGAGCTTGAGCGCTATGTCCTTTCCTGTCTAAGAAAGAAACCCCGCAAACCCTATAGTAAGTGTGGTATGAGGTCTGTTGTAGTCCTGTAGTTCAACGGACAATTTAAAAGATGGGATGGATATGTTTTAAGACACTCAGTTGCCAAGAAGAGATAAGGGGATGGTGGGCAAAGAGTTGATTTCTTGCTTTGGTGGTTGATAAGGAAACTGTTGACCTTGGGACCATTAAAGCAAAACTATTTCTCTTTTTCACATGGGTGTGGGTTTGTTTGGTTTTTTATCCCTAGCTATTAAGAAGCCGGTGGGAAAGACGAAGGAAGAATTGGCTCTGGAAAAAAAGCGGGAACTAGAAAAGCGGTTACAAGATGTTAGTGGGCAGCTTAATTCTACCAAAAAGCCCCCTAAGAAAAGTGAGTAACCTCTTAAGTGCTGTTAAGTACAACTTATAGCACCCTGTGAACATTGAATCTGAACCCTGCCTTATCCTATGCCATCCTTGTCATCTCTAACACACTTAAGCTACTTTCACTGTGTTAGTATATCTTAGTAATCTTCCTCTCTTTACCAACCCTCTTTATCTTTCCAAGCATAAACCCTCTCCAAGGAATTACCCTCTCATAATTCCATGTCCAAAATACGTGAAAGTTTGAACATCCTTGTTCGAAAAAGCACACTGGCTTTTACTTATTTTTTTTATAATTTTTTTTTTTTTCTGTATTCCATTTGGAAAATTTACCAATATTTTATTGCTGGACAAGTGGAGTTACAAGTATTTATTTACATTTCTTTGATTTTGCAACTTTGTTCTACAGCAAGTGAGAAAACAGAGACTTCGGCAGCACAGCAGGTAGCAGTGTCCCGGCTCAGTGCTTCCAGCTCCAGCTCAGACTCCAGCTCCTCTTCTTCATCTTCATCATCTTCAGATACCAGTGATTCAGACTCAGGCTAAGGGGCCAGGCCAGATGGGGCAGGAGGCTCCGCAGGACCGGACCCTTAGACTTCCCTGCCTTGCCCCTTCCTCTTGCTGTGATACTTCCTCATCTCACCCCCCCACCCCCACTGTAGGAGAGCTGGCTCTGCAGGGGGGGAGGGATGCAGGGACATTGACGGAAGGAGGGACATAAGGACAAAAGATTCTTCTGAGTTCCCAGCCCCAGTGGGAATGACCTCTTGGGCATAGAGCCCCTGTTCAAGTGGATGGGGCAGGATTACAGGGTGGAATGGACAAAGACCCTGATAAAGAGGGGTATCTGAGGCCATAGCTACCCTGTTCACATATTAGAGCCCTGGATTGAGGCTATTGTTCTAATTTATTTTAAGCTAGATAAGGCTGGTGGAGTGGGGCTGTGGTCCCCTCAACCTCTACAGGGAGGGAAGAATGGGGAAACTTTTTTTATGTTGACTTTTTTTTTCTACTGTTTTTCCTTCTACATTTGGGACCCCTAGGGGTTTCAGTCATCACCCCATTTGGTCCTCTGGACTTTTTTTTTTCCTTGTCTGTTGATTCTAACTTGTAAATAAAGAAAATATTATTCAAGTTTTGAGTTAACAGTGATCTTAAACCATTTGTTTCTGTGGTGCCTTATTTGTATAGTTAAAAGGAAAGTGATTTGGGTCTTTACTGAAACTGTCTAAAAAACACCATTGTTATTACTGTGATAAATACCAGTGAAGGATTTGAGAGTAACAGCAGGCCCAAGGTATGTTCTGGGTTGGATGTGTAGGGAAACCCCTTTATTGAGAAAACATTGTGGCATGCTAGAATTTTTCTCTGTAGATGGAGTAGGAGATAAATTAAGGCTGATGCTGAGATATTTGTAAGTCTACACACAAACACACCTTATATATAAATGGATTCTTCAGACGTATGTCTTCTGCAATCTGGAGTTTTAAAACAAAGCCTTAAGAAAGTGGAGGATCCAGAATGTAGAACATAAATCTTACCAAGAGATCATAATGCATCAGAGTTGAGCATTTATCCCCATTTTTAGAGCCCTTTGTTTCACTGGATTCCTCTAATTTGGCTTTTTTGCCAACTTGGAGTTCACTAGTGAGTTCTTAACTCCTTTGATTTCTAGTATTACTTGAAAGTAGACGGATAAAAAGACATTGGAAATCCAAAAATTACTAGTAGTCATTGTGGGGAGATGGGTTTTATTGCAGTCTTTAAAAATGAGAGTAAGCAGGTAAAAATATTTTGTGTGCTGGACTACAAAGAATGATAAATTGGCATTGAATTTAGTGGTGTTAACAAAGAGTTTCCTTAATCTGTCTACATCCTGTTGATCAGTTTTAAAAATGACCTTAAGGAAAAAAGTTACACTGAAATGATAGGTCTGTGACACGTTGAGAGGCACATGCCATCTGCTTGATTCCAGCCAGGTGGACCTGCAGATTAGAATTGTCACATAAACTACAAGACCATGATGTTTATGGAATAAGGAATGTTGGTAAAATTAAGTAGGTCTTCATTCAGAGAATATGAGTTAGGGCATTTGATTGTGCAGACCATAAATTATGAATAACTCTTAGAAGGATGGGAATTCCAGAACACTTAAATGTGTTCATGTACAACTTAGATCAAGAAGCTCTTCAAACTCAACACTTTAAAAAGTCAGAAAGGTTTCTATATCACTACCTATTCAATCTATTTTGAGGAAATAAAAGAAGCCACATTGTAAATGTTTAAGAATTTGAGGAAGACTCAGCAGTCTGCACTAAGCAGATGACAACCTTGCTAAAAGAGGTTAACTGCTGAAGATTTAAGCTTTGAGTGTGGATTACATCTGGGGGGGGGCGGGAATCACTACTGGACCTACTAAATAGGCAGCCCTTGTTAGGATTGAAGTTGTCAAAAATTTCCTTTCACTTGGGTTCACGATACCCAGGGTAGTAAGTCAAGGAATCAAAAGGTTGTATTAGGAAAATCTTGTCAAGTACCTCTTGCCAAGTCCTAAAGAACAAGGATTGACAGTTAATGGATGTCTTTGAGTTGTAGTGGTGAAGAGTACTTAGTATCAATTGCCAAAAGAACAAGTCTGTCTTGGAGGAAATACAACCTTGGTGTTCCTTAAAGGCAATGTTGGTGAAACCCAATCTTAAATTTTTGGGCATGTCATCTAGAGGGGCAGCCTTCAGAAAAATGAGAAAAGACCCCAAGAAGATGTGTTGATAACAGTGGGCTGAAGCAGAGATTGAGAGAATGGTGTTGGATACGGCAAAGCTCAGATCTGTTGATTACAGGGTTGCTGTAATAGTCAACTTTATGGCACCTTAAATGTTTACTGGAAGGAGTCCCCGTGCCATAGTGTTAACTGATAGGTCAGCTGTTAAATCTAACAGTCCCCTGTTAGAGAAAAAGGTTGTCTCTTACCATATTTACAGCCTCACTGGAGAAACTTGATGGGAGAAATGCAGTAAATAACCTTGGGTTTGGTTTTAGTGGGTTTTTTTGTTTTGTGGGGGTTTTTTTGAAACAAGAGTGGCTGGTGAGTTTAAGCTGCTAACCTTAAGGCTGTCAAATTAATTTTGACTCTGACCTTACAAGAAAATAGGGTTTCATTGTACAACAATGAAAAAAATTTTTTTTTTCCAAAAAGAAGTGAACTGGGTGGAGGGCAGGGGTGCCGCAGCCAGGGAGGAAAATGTAACGATGAATGGAAATCCAAGTTCTTTCTAAAATTAAAATCTCAAAAAGTTCTCACATAGAAGCTTTTCAAGTCCTCAATTTGATCAAGGTGGTGTCATAAAACAGGTTGATGATTCTTCAATACTAATCCTGCATTCTTTTTCATAAAGTCCAGCTTCATAAATTACTTGTTTAGCATACAGGTTGGATGGGTATGGAGAAAAAGGATACATTCCTGACACACATCCTTTACAGTGTTCCCTTGCTCCAGACAACAGCTGTTTGCTCTCAGTATAGATTTCATGTGAGCACAATTAAGTGTTTGGAAATTCCCATTCTTCTCAATGTTAGCAATAGTTTGTTATGCTCTACACAGTCCAATACCTTTGTATAGTCAATAAAACACGACATTCTTCCAGAATTCTCTTTCAGCCAAGATCATCTAACGTCAGCAATGATATCCCTGGTGTGATGGCCTCTTCTAAACCCGGCTTCTGACAGTTCTCTGTCAATATTCTACCAGTAATATTAAATATAATATTAATAGTGGTGGCTCTTAATTATCAAGTCATCCAACCCATAACTGACCCTCCAGTGGGTTTTCAGAGGCAGTTTAATCGCGTAGGAGATTGTCTAACTTTAACCCACAGAGCAGCTGGTGGATTTGAACTATGTTCCTTGGGATTGCTGTGCAACTTTTTACCATTAGGTCACCATTGTTCAATAATGTCCACATTCTATTGGATCACCTTCCTTGGGAATGAGAATAAATATTAAATGCAGGTCTCTTCAAATCAATTGAACAAGTAACTCTGACATAGATTTCCTGGCACGTCCAGGGTTCCATCTGTTAGCTGAAACATGTCACTTGGTATCACATTGATTTCTGGGACCTTTTTTTCCCCCAGTGCCTTCAATGCAGCTTAAACTTCGTTTATGACCATTGGCTCTTGTTCATAGCGCACTTGCTAAAATTTTTCAGTGTCAACCACTTTTTGGTTATACAGATGATACAACTTTGCTGAAAGTGAGGAGGACTTGAAATGTTTGCTGCAGAAGAAAGAACATGGACTACAGTCTTCAATACAGACTACATCTTAACATCAAGACCCTCACCACTGAGCCAACAAGCAACATAACATAATAAATGGACAAAGGATTGAAATTATCAATGATTTCTTTTTACTTAGATCCAGTCAATACCCTTGGTATCAACAAGGAGTTGTTGCTGGGCAAGTCCACTGTCAAGAACCTCCAAAATACAGAAGAGCAATGATGTCAGCTTGAAAACTAACAAGTGCTTTATTCTGGCCATAGTCATTTCAGTAATTTACTATGTACCTGAGAGCTGGACAGTAAGTAAGAAGAACTGATAATATTTGAGTTGTGTTGTTGAAGACTACTACTGAATATCTCACGGATTGGAAAAAGTGCAACCAGGGTACTCCTTGGGAGGCAAAGACGGTGAAGCTTTGTCTCTTATTTAGGGCATATTGCTAGGGGAGGCTATTCCTTGGAAAGGGGCATCGTGCTTGGAAAGATACAGGGTCAGCAAAAGTGAGGAAGACCTCAATCATATGACTTGACACAGTGACTGCAGCATCGGGCTCAAGTGTGTCAGAGATGATAAGAATGGCACAGGACAGGACATGGTTCAGGTGTGGTGTTCTTATGGCCACAATGAGTCTTATTCTATGTCACCTAACAACTTATACAGAAGTCAACTGACAGCTTTGTATCCTGGAACAGCTCATAGGTTCAAACCACTGACCTTTTGGTTAGTAGATAAGATTAATCAGCCACCATGTTCCTTTCTTAGCACCTAACTAAGCCCATTTCTGTCAGGTTGATATAAAACTCTAAGCAACCACAGAGAGTGTTGTTAGGAGCTGTCAAGTCAACTACAGCTCATCTATGAATGATGGATTTGAATCGTTCCCTATCCTGTGACATTCTCATCATCTCTGATATACTCGAGTCCATTGTTACAGTCACTGTGCCAGTCTATGTCGTTGAGGATCTTTTGCTTCTTCGTTGACTCTCCGTCTTTCCAAGAATGAAGTCCTTTTCCAAAGACCAGCTCCTAAAAACATACCTAAAATATGTGAGGTGAAACTTCACCATCCTTGTCTCCAAAAAGCACTCTGGCTGCATTTTGCCCAAGAAATAATTATTTGTTATTTTGGTAGCCCATGAGATATTCAGTACTTTTCTCCAGCACCACAGTTCTAAGGTGCCCATTCTTCTGTCATCCTTAGCCCATTGTCCAACTTTCAAATGCATAGCAAGTAATTGAAAAGACCGTGGCTTGTATCAGATGCACCTTAGCCTTTAAACTGATATCATTGCCCCTTAACACCCAGGAGAGGTCCTTGACAGCAGATTTATACCCTTTTATTTATCTTTTGATTTCTTGACTGCTGGTGCCAAGGGTGTTGATTGTGGATCCATCCAAGCAAGATCATATCGTTGACAGCTTCAGTCTTTTCTCCATCTATCATGATGTCACCTTTTAACCCCTTGGTGAAGATTTTTGTCTTCATGATGTTGAGATGTAATCCATATTGAAAGCTGTAGTCTTTGATCATCTGCAGCAAGTGTTGTGTTTCAAGTCCTCTTTGGTTTCAGCAAGGCAAGGTAAAACTTCCTAGACTATAAATCTTTTAGGAATCAAGATTTAAACCTCCATCTTTCTTCCCCAGGGCACCTGGTGGGTTTGAACTTTTTGGTTAGCTGACTTTTTGGTTAGTCTGCCATAACAAGGGCTTTTTTTTTTAACATAAAATGTAAATGCTGACTCAACAACACTACAGGAGAGTAGAACTGCCCCAGAAGGTTTCCAAGGCTGTATGTAAATCTGTAGGTGACCTCATCGTGGGGTTTCTGGTGGATATGAACCACAGATCTTT